TATTCTATTCTATTCTATTCTATTCTATTCTATTCTATTCTATTCTATTCTATTCTATTCTATCCTATTCTATCCTATCCTATCCTATCCTATCCTATTCTATTCTATTCTATTCTATTCTTATATTGTATATTGTATTCTAAGATATATACCACATCTTCTTTGTTCATTCATCCATTGATGGGCACTTAAGTTGCTTCTGTCTCTTATCTATTGTGATTAATGCTGTTATGAACATAGGGGTGCAGATATCTTTTTCAGTTAGTGTTTTCATTTTCTTTGGATGCATTCCCAGAAGAGGAATTGGCTGGATCATATGGTAGTTCTGTTTTTAACTTTTTGAGGATTATCCTTACTGTTTTCCATATGGCTGTACCAATTTACAATCCCACCAGCTGTGCCCAAGGGTTTCTTTTTCTCCATGCATGCCAGCATTTGTTATCTCTTGTCTTTTTCATGATGGCCATTCTAACAGGTGTGAAGTGATATCTCAATGTGGCTTTAATTTGCATTTCCCATATTACTGGTGATGTTGAGCATCTTTTCATGAACGTATTGGCCTTTTCTGTATCTTCTTTGGAGAAATATCTATTCATATCCTTTGCCTGCATTTTAATGGGATTAATTGGTTTTCTTTTCTTCTATCTTTTCTTTATTCTCCTTTTCTTTTTCTGCTATTGAGGTGTATGAGTTCTTTATAGATCTTGGGTATTAACCTCTTATTATATATATAGTTTGCAAATATTTTTTTTTCCCATTCCATGGGTTGTCTTTTTACTTTGTTGAGGGTTTCTTTTGCTGTGAAAAAGTTTTTAGTTTGCTGCAGTCCCACTTGTTTATTTTTTATTTTGTTTCTTGTGATTTAGGTATCCAAATAATCATTACTAAGACCTATGTCAAGGAGTTTTTTTTTATTCCTATGTTTTCTTCTAGGAGTTTAATGATTTCAGGTTTTATATTTAAGTCTTTAATCTATGTTGAGTGAATTTTTGTGAGTGGTGCAAGATAAGGGTCCAGTTTCATTCTTTTACATTCTTTACATTCTTTTACATCCTTTTCCAATTAGCCCCACACCATTTATTGAAGACTCTTTTTCCTCCATTGAGTACTCTTAGCTCCCTTGTCAAATATTAGTTGACCATAGATGCTCACCTGGGCTCTTGATTCTTTTCTCAATGTGTCTGTTTTTATGCCAGTACTACACTGTTTTGATGACTTCAACTTTATAGTATAGCTTGAAATCAGAAAATATGATACGTGTTGCTCTGTTCTTTTTTCTCAGGATTTCTTTGGTTATTTGGGTTCTTTTGTGGTTCCATAAAAATTTTGGGAGGGTTTTTTCTACTTCTGTAAAATATGCCATTGAAATCCTGATAGGGATTTTATTGAATATATAGATGACTTTTGGTAATATTGACATTTTAACAACATTAATTCTTCCAATCCATTAACATGGCATACCTTTCTATTTATTCATGTCTTTGTCAATTTCTTTCATCAATGTCTTGCAGTTTTCAGAGTAGACAACGTTCATCTACGTAACTAAATTTATTTCTAAGTATTCTTTTGTTTTTGATGCTCTTGTAAAGGGGATCAACTTCTTCACTTCTTTTTCAGAAATTTCATTGTCAGTGTATAGAGACAGTACTGATTTTGCATGTTAATTTTGTATCCGGTAACATCACTGAATTTATTGATTAGACCTAACAGTTTTTGGTTGAGTCTTTAAGATTTTCTTTGTATAAAATTATGTCATATGAAAATAGAGACAATTTTACTTTTTCTTTCCAATTCTGATACCTTTCTTTCTTTCTTTTTTATTTTTTTCCCTAATTGTTCTAGCTGGGACTTCCAGTCCCATGTTGAATAGGAGTGGTGAGAATGAGCACCCTTGTCTTATTCCTGATCTGAGAGGGAAAGATTTCAAACTTTTACCTTTGAGTATTATATTATCTGTGAGGTTGTCATACATGGCTTTTATTATGCTGAGACATGTTCCTTCTGTGCCTAATTTGTTAAAAGTTTTTAGCATGAATGGATGTTGAATTTATCAAATGTTTTTTCTGCATCTATTGAGATGATTATATAATTATTTTCTTTAATTCTATTAATGTGATGTATTACACTGATTTACTCGTATATATTGAACCATGCTTGCACCCCCAAAACAACTTAATCATGAAGTAGGAGCCCCTTAATGTACTGCTGAATTCAGTTGGCTAGTATTCTATTGAACTTTTAATACTTTTTATCCTCTCTCGGAATATTGGCCTATAGTTTTCTTTTCTTTTCTAGTAGTGTTTTGTTCCGGTTTAGTATCAGGATAACAGTAGCCATGTAATATGATTTGGGGAGTGTTCCCTCCTCTGAGATTTTTTGGAAGAGTGTGAGAAAGATTGGTGTTAAATTTTTAAATGTTGGGAAAATTCATCCATGAAGCCATTTGGTCCTGGGCTTTTCTTTGTCAAGAGATTTTTTATTACTGATTTAATCTCCTTACTAGTAATTGGTCTATTCATAATTTTTATTGCTTCCTTATTAAGTCTTGATAGGTTGTATGTTTCTAAGAATTTTTCAGTTTCTTTTAAGTTGTTCCATTTTTTTGCATATAATTGTTCATAATAGCCTCTTATGATACTTTATATTTCTGTGGTATCCGTTGTAATGTCTCCTTTTTCATATAATTCTGCTAATTTTCATCCTTGCTGTTTTTTCCTTGATTAGTCTAGCTAAGGGTTTTTCACTTTTGTTTATCTTTTCAAAGAACCAATTGTTAGTTTTGTTAATCTTTTGTATTGTTTTTTTCATTCTTTATTTCATTTATTTATGCCCTAATATTTATTATTTTCTTTTTTGTAACTATGGGCTTAGTTTGTTCCTTTTTTTTTTTTTTTTCTAGTTCATTAAGGTTTAGAGTCAGGTGTTTTATTTGGGCTCTTTCTTGTTTCTTAAATTGCTATGAACTTCCCTCTTAGAACTGTTTTTATGGCATCCTGCAAGTTCTGGTATGTTGTGTTTCCATTTTTGCTTACTCAAACTTTTACAGTTTCTTATTTCTTTATGTATGTATGTATGTATGTATGTATGTATGTATTTATTTATTTATTTATTTATTTATATTTCATTTCACCTTTAATTTCTTCTTTGATCTATTGGTTGTTTAACTTCCATGTGTTTGGGATTCTCCAGTTTTCCTCTTTTTATTAATTTCTAGTTTATGCCATTGTGACCAGAAAAAAATATTTAGTATGATATCAATCTTTTTGAATTTTTTAAGACTTTTTTTGTGTCTTAACATATGGTCTGTCCTAGATAATGTTCCATGTGTACTTAGAACAATGTGTATTCTACTTTTGTTGGATAGAATGTTTTATATATACTTGTTAGGTCCATTTGGTTCATAATGTTGTTCAAATCTGTTTTTTTCTTATGGATTCTCTGCCTAGATGACCTATCCATTTTTGAGAATGGAGTATTAATGTCCCCAACTATTGTGTTACTGTTTTTTTTTTTTAACTCTGTTAGTTTTTGCTATATATATTTAGCTCCTCCAATGTTGGGCACATAAATATTTCAATTGCTATATCTTTTTGATGTACTGACAATTTTATCATTATATAGTGACCATCTTTGTCTCTTTTTATCATTTTTAAAGTCTATTTTGTTTCAGTATAGCTACCCCTGCTGTTTTTTGTTATTATTGTTATTACGATTTGCTTGAAATGTCTTTTTCCATTCCTTTACTCTCAGTCTATGTTTTTATGCTCTATTTTGGGGCAAGGAGCTGTTCAAACTCTGAGGATAGGAATGGGGGGCAGGAGGGTAAGGTATGTGCCATTTTTTTTGACAAGAGTTTTAACAGGGTTTACTGGCTGGTTTGTTTTTCCTAAGTGAGGCTATAGGGTGGTCTCCATGGTTGCCTGGATTTTCTGATCAGGTTTACTGGATGGTCAGGACTGGGTTACTATATTCAGTAGTGCATGGAGCCATTCATTAGATTCCTTTTCCAGGCAGGGAACAGGATAGGACCCATGGCCTGTACAGCTCATTATTTGGGGACTTGAATCAGGCCAAAATGTTTACTGAATTCCCTGGTCAAGTGAGACCACCAATTTTGTTCTGCAAATGGGAGAAACCTTGGGCTATGCTCTACGGGCTGTGAAGCTTCCTTTGTGCTCAGGTTAGGGTTCCCAATTGGACAGGTTGAAGGCTGTATTCAGTGATGAACAGGGCTACAAATTAGTTTCCCTGCCTCATCATAGAAGGAAAAGCAGCTCTAAAGCCAACAAAGCTCTTTGTTTTCTTAGTTCAAACCGACCTGCATCCCAAGTTCCCTGATTGAACAAGCCCATTATTTTTGTTCTGCAAACTATCAGCTGAAGCATAATATATTTATTTATTTTTTATAAACCTTCCATTTTCCAACAAGGTGACTTACAAGGGATTTTATTTGTGAAAATGTTTGATGGAAGTTAGTTAAGAGTATTAAGTGACTGGAAGTCTCAAAAATTCTAGAGTAGACAATTATTCCCCATGCATCATCTGCTGGGTAATATGGGATTTTTCTTGTTTCTAAAAGATAAAAATAAAAAAAGGTTGCATTCTAAAAGGTTTCACATTAGAGAAAAACTTCCATTTTTCTCCTTCATGTATCAGTTTTTAATTTCCACTAATGTTTTTATATTATTTGGTCAATTAGCTGTCAGAATTTTTTAGAGGTAAAGAAAGCTACATGTTTCTGATTCTGATGGGTACTGGACTCAATGTTACATGCAAATAAGTTTGAGCTAATAGATCTTTGCATTTTACACATTGCTGAAGAGCATAGAATGTAATTAGGTCTCCCTTTTATATGGTTGCAGCTTGTCCTTTTACTAAATCAATTGTCTTTGCTACTCATTTATGTCATTTTCTCTGTCTTCAGTGTTTCTTTCCAACCTAGAGTGAGACATTTACTCTAGCTTTGATGAAATACAAGAAGTGGAACTTGTTGGTCAAAACGTTGGACAAAACAGATGGAGAAGTAAAGAAGTATGTGACATAAGACATGCAGAAATTTGGATCTCTCCAATTAATCATGGTTCACAGCTGACAAAAAGGTGACAATAATTGATGTAACCCTTTGAGAAACAATCTGGAACTTCAGCACCATGGGAAATCTTGTTCAGCTTTGCTCAGCTACTACTGAATTAATGTGTGTTACAAATTGCTACTCAGAGGGGCACTTCATAAAGTCAGAGTTTCTGGAACAAATTCCACACCATGAGGCATCCCAGAAATCATTCATTTTTCTTCTGGCTTCTCACCACTCAGTGTTGTGTCACCTACTGTAACAAGCACAGTCCACAGATAAAAGATGAGAGTACCAATTTATCTGCAGTGTGTTTTGCCAATGTAGGTAGTCTCCATAACTCACTTTGATTCCTAGGAGGGTTATATGTTGTTAGCTTGAAATGTCTAAACTAGTTGTCTGTTTGGTAAAATGCAATGCTATATGCATGCCCTTTACTGGCTCTGCAGCTATAGGATGTGTACCGCCCAATCTTTTACATGTAGCTTCAGTGTAAGTGACTTCCCCTCAAAAGATGATGTAACTATTTGACCAGGCATTTTTCTCCTTATAAAAGAGCTTACACAATGGCAATACTTCCAAGTTCCACGCCTGAATAAGACAGTGTGATACAGATCTCCAGAGCAAGCACAAATGTAAAAAACTGGAACCACTGGAGTTGTAAGAATATATTATGATTTTTATTCATAGTTGATTCTTAACTAGAAAAAAGAAAAAGCCTCGTTATTTTGCAATATAAACATAGACACTCGTCTCCTTACTGAGTCCATATACTAGAAGGTCACATGTCACACAAAGCAAATGAGGTGAGAGTTCCACAGTGCGGAAAGACTGATTATGATATTCTCATTCACTCAGTGCATTCAGCAGCTCACCAGGCATTGCAGTTAAACAGACTGATGGATTGTCATCTTGTTATGATCACTGTACTTCACAAAATAAACAGATGCTTTAAAAAAAATCTCTTTAAGTAAATCGTGGTTTACCAATAATACCAATAATGCAAGTAGAAGCAACCAAGAAGGAGCTAGTAATACTGATAACTGTGCCTACTATCATCTCTTTGCAGACCACATTACAAGATAAGAACAATGATTATCTAATTAGATCTTCTGAGATAATAGTCAAAGTAATTTGAAATTGTCAAGGAGACTACTTGAAATCAGATTTTTTTCATCTCTTATCATGAATTATAGTTAATAGATTAAAGCTCAGATACTGCATTTCAAATTTAACTCTTTAAGATTCATAGTTGTATATATTTTATAAGGTATTTAATAATTAGTAGGATATGCATGTTTTTGGTGAAGGAATGTATATTTATTGAGGATATGTATTCCAAAATTTTAGAGATCAACTGCATATTCAAATATAAGCATTTTTTTTAGTATTCCAAATAAATAAAGTGTATTCAAGTATGAAGGATTGGTTAGATTTTAAGTATTCAAAGTATTTAGCTTTAAACTTATATTTATTTCAATAACAATTCAAACTTAACTTCAGTAATCACATGTGTTTTCTTTTTTTTCCATCTTGAAAACCTAAAAGGCTATATAAATAGCCAATAAAAGCCTTAATAAAATTCAAAAAGGTATATTCACAGGCAGTGGGTCTAAACATTAACTTAATAATTTGTTTCAAATTAGAGAGAAACTCCCAAGTTCCATGCAGAAACCTCATACTATCTTCAAACCAAAATCAAACCAAAAATTATATCAACTGAATATTAAAGCCAAGACTTTTTCTATTGTGAACTTGGGTGACTAAATCTAAGAATGGACTGATAAACATTGCTGAGTGGTACACATTGGATGAAATCATTACCCTACCATCATCACTAAGAAATGACAATGCTGTCACCTGCAAGCAGGCCATGAAATGATGGTGAGTAATCACTGTAACCTCTCTCTCCTGGGTACTTTATATGTTCTGAAGTTCATTTTACCCTCACATCAGATGATGAAGTGACCACTTTATACACCTTTTACAGATAGGAAAGCTGAGGTTTAAAGTGTTAAATCAATTTCACAAATTACTGAGCTGACAAATGTAAGCTCTGATAACGGAATCCATACCAGAAATTTGGTTCTATGAGAATCAGGAGCATATTCTCTGAACATGAAATTCAGAGACACAAATATTTCTTAAATATGATAAAGAGTTTAGAAGAATTTGGTCTGTCAAATATTGGAATGGGGTGCCTCTAGGGGATTGATTCTTTCTGGAGATAATGATGGAGTGGTTGGGTAATTTATATTCAGTGATTTTACAGAGAGGGATTCAGATGTTGGATAGGGCTTGAGAGTATGTTTTCTTTCATTGTCTTCACTCTATGATCCATGATTTTATCCCGTGAAACATTTCCTGATGTTTTAAGTTTTCTGAGGTCAAGGGGTATTGTGTTTACTATTATTATGCTTATTATTGTCTTCACTGACACCAGTCATCATTTTTAAGACAAGCCCAAAAGGGTAAGACTTTAAATTATTATGTCTTTGCTAATGTACAATTTAAAGGGACGTTTATTTGCTATATAATTTTGAGGAAAAGGTCAATTGTTTCTTTCTTTTTGAGGAACTAGTTACTGCCATGAAATTGGTAAATTGGGAATGTTTGTATCTATAGAAGGTAAATAAATTTTTCAAGGGATTAAATGTGATTCTGAGTTGTATCATTACAATAAGCTCATGCAAATGTAGGCACTTTTTCAGGTGATGAAGATGTGGTTGTCATATTACAAATAATTAAACCAGTTATTTGTAAGCACATTTATACATAACAATATGGATTTATTATACATAATGAATACAGAGAGATAGATAATATGTATGCACACACATTGAAACATGACATATATGCCTTTATCAAATAATAATGATTGAAAACTATCTTTTAAGAACTTTGAATGGCCTGAAATTTTACTCTACTTACAAGATAACAAATTAGCCTACTGGTTTCAGAATTGCTGACAGAAGACCCGAGATTCCTGGGTCAGAGACAAGACAGTCTGTTACTCATAGCAATAGCAAGAGTATCATCATGTTTGCACCAATTCCCCCACGTCATATGGGACATTGTGAAGAAGACCAGGTAATACCTGCATATGCACCAATTTGAGTATGAAAAAAGGAACTTTGAGCTTAGATAACCAAGTCTTTTATAATGGACGGTAAGTCTGCCTGCTTTAACTCCAGAGGGAGACACTGATTTTATTATACTGGATAGTAATCAAACCTGCCCTTTCCTCTGGAGGCAACATGATTTCTCTCTTGCAAGGCTGTTTGCTAAGCTAACACCCTTGAAAAGATACTCCTAAACAAAGGGAGTTAGTGCCTGTTTCTAAGACATGCAGAAATGCAGGAAACTCATGGAGAATTGTCTCCTAACACCACCAGAAATATTTATTGTCAGCATTTGGCTTGAAAACGGGCACATGGCACAGCGTTTGTGAAAATCATCTGGCCTTTGATCCCATAATAGCCAAACAGAACATTAAGACATGTTGAACGTATGGACTTTTCCCATCATATTTCCTGGAAAGCACATGTTTCCTATTCAGGGGTCACTCTGACACATTTGGTCCTAGAGACCATCTCAACTAGACTTGTGTCTGCATCACTTGCTGCCTGAGAACTGCTCTGCCAATCTGCCTTCTGGGGCCCCACAGAAGGGTGAGTAATGGAGCATTAAATACTAACAATCTGGCTATCACAAGGACTTAATCTATTTAAGCCCCACAGGGATCTGGGCGAACATCAAAATAAGCACACCAAATGTGACTTCCATTGACTCCTTAGGCAGAAGAGCCTAAAACACCAGTGAGAGCATATGAGATTCGGATTGTTTGTCTTATAAATGGCATATTAAGACATCTTCCTCTAAGGCAGCAACATGGGAGAGTCAATGCCACACTACCCATCAGGTTGCCATGAATTCTCTTAAGGCATCAGCAAACAGAGGCCTAAATGGAAATAAAGTTTGAACAGTCTGGGTTCAATGAATTTATCTAGGACTTTACAAACACAGATCCAGAATAAAAGTATTTTTAATTTCAGCTTACAATGTACTCTTGTGATGTTTTTAAAAATACTATTTTACTCTTAATTAGATGTTTTTGTGGTAGTTGGGTGTTGTAGGGCATAATTTTTCTTTCAATTCTTATGGTCTCTAATTATGACCCAGAGTCAATGGAAAGAGCATAAGATCTGAATTGTTCAGGGTTTGAATCTTGATTCTAGGTAAGTTACATATCCTTTATGAACCTCACTTTTCTCATTTATAAGCACAGATAATTATTTATTCATATAGGACTGTTTGGAGATTTTTTTAAGTGCACTAAAACAATATAGAATGTAACACGTAGGAGATACTCAAGATAGCCTTGTGAGGCAGCCCATCACCCAAGGCCTCCCTTTTGTTTGAGTCTGGGCCACTAATTCTGTGGAGCTATAGGATTTTATGTCATGGGCCATCCAGCTAACTGTGCAGTTTGCCAGCTTCAGACTAAGCTCAGGGAAAACAATAGTTGATCAAAACTGCCAGACTCGCTTCCTCTCCTGAAACTATAAACTTCTGTTCAAGTGCTGTGTTTATGTTGTAATCTTCTGTGTAGTGAGTAGGGGGGAGGAGGCGTCACTTGAGAAGAGCTGCAGCAGCCCCTTAGGTAGGAGATACACACAGAGAAAAATGTGATGATGAACCTAAATCCGTGAGGTATCCCTTGGTGTCAGCTGTACCCCATCAGCAGCAAAGATGTGTGTGTGTGTGTGTGTGTGTGTGTGTGTGTGTGTGTGTGATTAGCAGAAGTGCTTTAATGTGGATATAATTACCATATGCTCCATGGATGAATAATGTTTCTAGCCTACATTATCTACCCACATTTACAGTATAAACTAAACAGTGTTAAGTAATGTGGTTTATTTCATCAGCACAGGCCCTTCTTGTCTCTTCGAACACAGAGCCAGTTCTGGCTCTTCATTGGGTGAATGGAGTTTGTAAACTCTTCTTGCGTGGTCCCATGCAGTCTTTAGTGTCAAGAATTTGGCTTTGTCTGCACAATTACTATTCTTTGTATTTTATTCTAAATCCCCATGTGGAAAAAATATGTTTAAATACAGCTTATTGCACATGTTTTCTAAAGATGCATTAATAAAAAAAATGTGATTCAAATGTGTCAGGGCAAGGCTTATTTGGAAGATGGTTCCCATTAACAAAAGTACAATATCCTACATATGTCATGTGCATGATAATGTATTCCATCATTTTAATCTAAATATTATGACATTTAATTCATTTTTTTGTCAAATTATGATGGTAAAATATAAAGTAAAAGAAATTAATAACTATCTATTTTATAATATTAATATTTTTTCAATAATCATATCTGATGATATATTTAAAATGTCTATTATCAAATTTATTGACACATTTTTCACCCAAAATTATTACAGATGAATCAAAATAGGAAATATTTTCTCTATATATTTTCTCTATTATGTATCCATACATATTTCAATGCCTTGCACTAAGTCTATGCTCAAAAAACAATCAATAAATGAGCATCCAGAATAATGCTTAATATTCTACTACTATCTACCATCTATCGGACTTGTGCTATATGTAACCCAACATAGTATAGGACATTTATCTAAACTTCCTGAAATTTTTGTTGTTGGCAATATAACTAAATCTTCATGATATCCCTACATCATTTTGCATCACTCTCTTCCTTTCTTCCTCCTTATTTCCTTATTTATTTATTCATTCACTCTTCAATATTTCTCAAGGTTGATCTTTCTCTCTCTTTCTTCTCTCTATTCCATTCTCTGTCTTAATTCCTCATTTCTTCCCATTTTACCTCTCTTTTTATTTATTAATTCTTTTAGGGCAAAGAATTAGTTAAGAATCCAAAACCTCATATTTACGTTTTATGATATAAAGTAGAAGTATTAACTATGGTGTTATATTATCCATTTGTCTATTAATTCCAATTATCCTTGGTAATAATATGTTGACTCAACAGACTATGGATTTAAATTTTGCCTAGGACAAGTTAAAAATATGTTGCAAAGTTGAGCATTTTAATTTTCATATTCTATTAGTGGTTTTGAAAAATAAGAACATCTGTTTGTAGGAACAAACAAATCAACAATAGCTCCTTGGGTTAAAATGCAAATCTCTCCGAAGCCGAAAGTCATGAAGAAATATCCTTGGCCTAGGTTTCACTATTTAGCATAAATGCTGAACACATAAATGCTGAACATTTATGCCATTGTGGGGAGACCTTGCACTGGTTGTGCATGATATTTCCTTGAACATGGAGCATACTTAACTAGGTAATAATTTGGATGTAATTGTATTTTTGTCAAGTAAAACATGAAAATTATCTCTACTTTCTTGCCCTTAATGCTGAGACCCATCACACAGAATGTTCAGCAAAAACAACACCAAGTTGAAATCATCTATACATAATGGCAAGTTATGCCCTACCACCACTGCTAGAGCTCATATTGCCTTTTATATCAATTTTAGGTGAGTTCATTTAACATAAGTATTTTGATTCCACTATGAAATTTCTTTATATACTTCTCTATAAGTGTTTTTAAGGCATAAACTACCAAGGAAATTAAATTAAATTTAATAAATACTTTCATAGAAAATTTTTGTGGTTAGAGAAGTTACAGAAGTGATACTGGAAGCAAGATGTTAGACTACTAGGAAGCTTCAGGTCCTTATTATTCCACAGAAACACTGAGATGATAATAATATACAGACCAGAATATGTTTGTGAGAACTGTAGAGACCAGTTGAAACTAGAACACTCAGGTCAGTGTAATCCCAAGAAAGGATGCCAGCAACAAGAGCATTTTAACTTCCATTTTGGTCTCTTGGATCCTTAGCTCTGGAGATAATAAGCCACCGTATTTCAGGACACCCAAGCAACCCTGTGGACAGGTCAGGGGAGAGAGGAAGAGAGGAACTGAGGTCTGCTGCCAGTAGCCATGTGGGTAATTCATTCTGAAAGTGGATCCTGCAGCCCCAATCAAGCCTTCAGATGACTGTAGCCCTGCCTGATATCTGACTGCAAACTAAAGAGAAATTTCAAACCAAACCATCCATCCAGGTTGATCCCAAATTTCTGACTCACAGAGACCATATGAGATGATATGGAATTTATTCAAGGCATTAAGTTTTAGAGTAATTTGTTAAATAATAGTAGATGATTGTTATGGTTGAATCGTATCCTTCCTGATTTCATAGGTCAAAGTTCTAACCCTGTACCTCAAATTGTGACTGTATTTGGAGATAGGTCTTTACAGAGGCAGTAAAGTTAAAATTAGGTCATTAGAGTAGGTCTTAGTCCAATAAGATTGATTTCCTTATAATAAGGAAATTTGGACACAAACATGTTTACATGGAGAATGCATGTGTGCGTGAAGACAAAGGTTAAGGTGCTGTTTTTACAAGTCAAAGAACACCAAAGATTTCCAGCAAACCCTGAGATGCTAGGTGAGAATCATGCAACAGATTCTCTCTCACAGTTCTCAGAAGGAAGTAACTCTACCTACCGATTTCAGACACCTTGATTTCAGACTTTTGACTTCCGGTATTAAATTTCTGTTGTTTAATATGCAATACATATTAAAGCAATACA